CCTCTCTCACTCTCTCTCTCTATGCTCCTTCTCCTCCTCCTCCTCCTTCCTCCTCCTCCTCCTCCTCCTCCTCCTCCTCCTCCTCCTCCTCCTCCTCCTCCTCCTCCTCTTCCTTCATCTCCTCCTCCTCTTCCTTCATCTCCTCCTCTTCTCATCTTCTCTTCCTCTTCCTTCATCCCCTCATCTTCTCATACTCTTTCTCCAGCGCTGCCCCTTCGCCTGCAGCCTCAGCTCCATCCCCTCCTCCCCTGAAGCCCGTGGTACTGACCCTTCCCCTTCCACTTGCCCATCCTGACAGCATGTAGGACTGCTCGGGCGAGCCTGGAGGGTGCTTCGGCACCCACCGCGCTATCCATCAGCTACTTCCGCTGATCATCTTTGGCTTCATTGGAGCAGGTAGGCGAAGGCAGCCGTTACTGCAGTCCCTAACTCCCTGACTAGGTTTCTACTGGTCGTACCTGCGATTTGTTTACCCTCAGGGTCGGGCCAAGAAGGCTGTAGCCGAGCAGCCGAGGACGGTAGCCGAACCCCCCCCCGCCTTCCCACCCCCCGCTCTCTCCCTCCCTCTCACGCTCTCTCCTCCCTCTCACGCTCTCTCCCACTCCCTCTCCCTCTGCCCCACATCCTCTCCCCTCTCTCTCTCTTCCTCCTTCGTGCTTCTTCCTCATCCTGCTGTTGAAAGTTCCTCCTCCCCGTCTTTCCCCTCCTCCTACTGCTGCTGACCTTCTCTTCCTGCTCCGCTTCTTACGACTACCACCACTGCTAAATCGTCTTGACCATGCTCCTGCTCATGCTCTTGCTCCTGCTTCCCGTTTCTTGCTCCTTCCCAAACTGAGGTTTTATCCCTGTTTGTGAGAATTGTTTCAGGTGGTGTTTGCTCCTTCCCAGAAGATCTATGACACTTTCGGTCAAGAGAATGCCCCGAACCTTGTTTGATAGATGAAAGACATAAGGGACAAGTGCTGACAAGGAACCTCGTTTAACGAAGCTGAAACAATCAACCCTCCCCTCTCGTATCTTCCAACATCTTCATCCTTTCATTCCCGTCCTCCTCTCCCTTCCCCTCTGAACCCTTCTCCTCCCCTCCCTTCTCCTTCTCAAACGGACCGGCCTCGCCTCCTTTCGCTTCTCCTCTGCCGCCTGTGGGAAAGGTCTCTAGGGAGGGAGGGCTGTACTTCCTGACGTCGATGTAGCCAGCAGGTTTGTGAGCTGTAAAGTGTGACATGAAAGTGAGGACAGGAAGGAGAATCGAGAAGAGGAGGACCGCGAGGGGCACAGCAGGAGCAGAGCAGGGAAGGGGGGTGGCAGGAGAAGGGAAGAGAGGAACCTTCAGGAATCGCCCTCATTGAAGACAAGGGGGAGGAGGAGGAGGAGGAGGAGGAGGAGGAGGAGGAGACAACTTACAGGAGCAGAATTCTCTGAAGGAGGTCCACGTTGCTCTGCGAGCCTTCCCTCCTCCTACTCCATTTCCTCCTCCATTCTTCAGGTTCGCAGCGTCCATCTTTGAGCGAGAGCCGAACCATGGCTGCTTGCAGCAACTGGAGCAGAAGGAAGGGGATCAGCGAAGAAGGCGGAGGGCAGGAGGGAGGAAGGGGAAGAGCAGGGAGGGAGGGAGGACATGTTCATGATCGTAGAGAATGGTAGAGAGAAGAAGAGAGAGAAGAGGGGGGGGGGAGGCAAACATGTAGAGGAGATGCAGGGGGCAGGCAGGAAGGCAGGCAGGAAGGCAGGAAGGCAAGATGGAAGGCGGGGGCAGGGGCTCTACCCTTGGAAGTCGCAGCGCCGGACGTCGCAGTTGATGTGGCTCGCGTTCTTATGGGTCCCGCAGAACCTGAGCCCAATCTCAAAGGAAGAAGAGAGGGAGGGAAGGAGGCAGGCAGGAAGTCAGGCTGGGAGCTTCTACTGTCTACTTTGTTCACCTTGCTTGACCTTCACTCATGCCGTAGAGAGCTCGTCGTTGACATCCGCTAGCCTGCAGGAGGATGAGGAGGACAAGGGGAAGGAGGAGAAGAGGGGGGTGATGGAAACGGGGTGGAGGGAGGAGGGAAGAGGAGGGAGGAGGAGGAGGACAAGGGGAAGGAGGGAAAGGAGGGAGGAGGGAAAGGAGGGAGGAGGAGGAAGAGGAGGGAGGAGGACAAGGGGAAGGAGGGAGAGGAGGGAGGAGGAGGAAGAGGAGGGAGGAGGAGGAGGAGGATGGAGGAGGGAGGAGGGAGGGGCTGCACTTCGCATGTTCGGCAACGGACATTCACTTGCATCTCCTTCCTGCCGCACAGCAGTGAGTGGAAGTTGAGCAGGGAGGAGGCTGACTTGTGATGCGAGCAGTACAGGGCTCGTCGCCCGGGTTCGCCGTAGGTGGCTCTGCGGTTGCAGCCCTCCTGAAAGAGGTGACTGAGAGATGAAGGGAACCAGGAAGAGGAGGGAAGGAGGAAGGGAAGGGAAGTGGGGGAAGGGGAGGGAAAAAAGGGGGAGGGGGGGAGGGAGGGAAGGAGAAGGAAG